GAGGCTGTACCAATTTGCAGCTCCACCAGCAGTGGAGTAGGGTTCCCTTTTCCCCGCATCCTCGCCAGCAAGCGTCGTTGGTGTTCTTGTTTATGTGGGCCAATCTTGCTGGTGTTAGGTGGTACCTCATCGATGTTTTAATTTGGATTTCCCTTATTGCTAGGGAGCTAGAACATTTTTTCATATGTTTGTTTGCCATTTGGACTTGTTCCTTTGTGAAATGTTTGCCCATTTCCCGTGCCCATTTCCTGAGTGGCTTGTTCGTTTTGGTTTTTTGGTTGTTTTGAAGTTCTTTGTATATCCTGGAAATTAGCCCCCTATCGCCTATATCGTGTGCAAAGATCTTCTCCCACTCTGTGGGTTGCTTTTTTACTTTGTTGATTGTTTCCCTTGCTGTACAGAAGCTTCTTAGTTTGATGAGGTCCCATTTGTTTATTCTGTTCTCAACTGCTATTGCTTTTGGTGTCCTTCTTAGAAAGTCGGAACCTACTCCTAGGTCTTGCAGGGTATTTCCTACATTTTCCTGCAAGAGTTTGAAGGTTTCTGGATGTAGGTTTAGGTCTTTTATCCATGTAGATTGGATCTTGGTGTATGGTGATAGATGTGGGTCTATCTTTTTGTTTCTACAGGCTATCAGCCAGTTGTCCCAACAACATTTACTAAAGAGGCCTTCCCACTTTATTTCCCCATGTTGTTTAAAGAATTTTGGCATGGAGATAAGATGCATGAGAATGAAACTTCTTAACCTCGATTTAATGCAAATTCATCAGCATTAGCACCATCACAAAGGCCAGTGTGGGAAAAGCCTCCTGGAGAAAGCCTGCTTTCCAAGCATTAAATATCTGACATAATCAGTGTGCAAACTGCCATCATTCATAAGAATCATTTGTCAGCACTTGAATCTTGCGTAATAAGCATATAACTAGGTAAAGTGTAATTTAAAACAAAAGTTTGTTTCAGATAACTAGGAGAGTTCCTTTATTATGCTGTTAAAGAAATCTTTGTCAGTCATAGAAATGTAAGTTACAGTTTAAGACTGGGAAGTGAGCCATGTAGACCACTGGACCAACACAAGGCCTACAGCACACTTGTTGTTTCCAAAGGCCTCCTGGGAATTCTGCTGCAGGCTTCAGTTTGGGATCTGCTGAAACACATCCACCGACCTACTACTTGCATTAGACTTTCCTGTTGATTTTAAGACAGGTTGAGGCAGCATGGAGTATTGTTCACTTAGATCATCATCAACAGCCCAGAAATGTTAATACAACTCTTAGCATTTTAAGTAACTCAATTTTTCCGAGATTCAGTTTCCTTCCCTGTCAAATGAGAGTATAGCCTATTCTGCTTTGCTATAGTAGCTATATCATTAAAAAAAAAGGCCTCATATTAAAAATCACCTTTTAAAATATGTATTTCAAAAAAGGAAGGAAGGATAATTGCATTGAATTTAACATGAAGATTGTAATTCATTGTTAAGAATTGTTTAATAAAGAGCGTTAAAAGTAAATAAACATAAACATGGATTACCTGGAGGCGTTCCAAAATCCATCATTTAATGTATAAAAGAATGTATAAAAGAAGCTGTCAAGCTCTTCTGTAACCTTTGCCTTGACCTTGTAACTTTGTTCTGATCACAGTTCTTGCCCTCTGAATAAAAGAATGGCAGTAAGCAAAAGAAGGACAAGAAAGATAGCCAGTTTACTCAGCAGCACTGGAATACAGCAGCTGCTGGCTCTTCTAGGTCCCAGTTAAAAAGAGGAACACCCAACATGTCCTTTACAATGAAAATCTGATTACATGAATGAATTTCTTTAATTTTGAGTTATGAAAAATCATTGCAGGCGAAATATCTCTGCTTCCTTCCCAGTCCTACTTATATTACATAGTTGTTAAAGATCTTAAATAAAGTGACTTGTGCCTTAGGAAGCATTGGGTCTCAAATGACAGAAAACTCAGCTCATTCAGACTAGTGAGAGAGAGGTAGGGAGAGCAGAGCGTGGGAGAAGGATGAGAGTGGAGAAGGGAAGGGTGCTGCTGAGACTGCCTCAGTTGCTGTGCTATTAGTGTGGGAAGGTGAAAAGAGAATGGATCGCAATTCCTACTCTAACACTTGATTCACTGTACATTTACTAAGTTCTTAAGCTCTCTGTGCCTTATTTCCCATGCATAAGATCAGTGTCACCTCCAAGGGACTATAGGAGACCTGAAAGAGATCAACAAGTGAAAGGTTCGGTCCTGACTTCCAGTTCTTTTCCCTGCGGTAGAAATGGTATGTCTGTTAGGGCACCGTGAAAAATGGTTTCCCAGATGTCGCTCTAGAAAGGGAACTGTAACACTGGAGAAAGAAGCCTTTGAGAAGGATAAGAACTTAAGAAGTGACCTCCTAAATGTCCTGTTTTCAGTGTTACCAAATCAAATCCATCTGCTTGATGCCTCAGAAAAGCAAAATGAATTGTTGTTAAAAGTAACAAGATTAGTTTCCTTATTCAGCAGTTGTTATGCACCTACTGTGTGCCAGATCCTATGCTAGATGCTTGGCGATATAGCAGTTCATGAGACATACTTTGTGTCTTTTCAGCAAGAAGTATAGAGCAGGGGGAGGACACCGAGAAAATTATAACTATAAGTGACCAGGATTAATTTGGAATATCAAAATATGGTAAGAAAGGAAGGAAGGAATGCCAGGCCCTCCACCATCTGCCCCACTAGCCCTGGAAATGTCTCCATCTTTCTATTCTTTGTCTCTGGGCTATGTGTTCCTGTATGATCTGTATGATATTACTACAGATGGCAAATTCCATGCTTCCTCTACTTGTGAAATAAAAGATAGATTCTATTCATCTCCATCAATTGGAAGTAACTGACTATAGACTTACTACATTTAGTACATTTATAGGTATACTAAGCAAACCAATGCATATAGTATACTATCTACAAAGCGTTGTTCTCTTTCTTGCAGTCACTGACATTTAAAAATATGGTGATATCAAAGTTATAAAATTCATTTAACTAGTGCATGGTATTTAAAGAGACAACAGAAGGTCAAATCTTTCATTTTATGTACATTTAGTGTACGTTATAATAAGATTAGTTACTTTTTGTTTTGAATTTATTTTGCTATTGAGTGCTATTTATCAACTCTGGGAACTGATATTGATGTTTCTCTTTTTACATATGAAAAACTGAACTCAGAAAGGACAAGTGGTTAACCCAAGTTTTCAAAGAATACAAAATATCTGAGCAGTGAGCAGAGATTAATTCATTTGTAACATCGCAGCATATTTTACAGCTTATTTGACTCAAAATATCTTACATATGAATTTGTAGTACAGAATCATTATACCACATTTGCAAGCTGATTTTTAATATATGATCTTGACAATATTCGTTTAGCCTTCTGTATAATTAGGAAATCCCAGAACATTGTATTTTTTTTAATTATGTGTTTGATTATGTCTCTTGATTTCATGTATCATTCTTACGTGTTGCTGGCTCTATCCCTTGATTTATATTTCTTTTCAGTCATACTTAAAATTTAGTATCTCATGATTCACCACCAAAATAAATATAGTCCTAGGAAGGTATTTTGGTGAAGTGTTTAAGTCATCGCTGGGAGCAACCACTTTCCGTGTCAGAATGCTTAATTCCCTTAACTCACTGCACTTCAGAATCAGCTCCTACTGATGCGTGCTGCAGGAACAGCAGAGGATGGTTCAAATACTTGGATCACTGCCATCTAGGTGGAAAACATTGACCAAGTTCCAGGTTTATGAGCTTGGCCCAGTCTTGGCTGCTGAGTACACTCAGCAAGTGTGCCAGCAGAGAAAACAATCTCATCAGTTTCTCAGGTGTACAAAGAAAATGAAATTCGGTAAATATTTAAAATTTAATGTTATTCTTGTAAACAGCATCTGGTTATCTGTAACTGAGAGAAACTTATTAAAACTAAGTCACCCCTCTTAACATAGCATCTTTTCAAAATCCTAGTATTTAGAGATCATGGTATTAGTTCCCCACCTTTATTTTTAACATCACAAGAAGTCATCATCCAAGGGAATTATTTTATTTTCTGCACAACCAACTTAGTTCTACTCTGAAAGCCCAGAATTCAGTTGAACAGAACTCTAAGTTCATCTTTTTCTCTAATCCATCCTTATTGTCTCCTCTGAGATCAGTCATTCCCCCACTCATACCTTCACCATCAAGAGACTGCTTTTGTTCTAACCTCAGTTTTGTTTTGGAAATTCTCATGTGGCTTGCATTTATTTTGTTTGAAATTGTTTTTCTTTTATCCTATTTGTATGAACATTATAATTATAATTAAGCAAAAAGGTATCTGCTATATAATGGGATATTCCAGGAAGGGTCAGGAAAGCAGAACTCAAACTACAAATTTATTTTGATATAAGAAAATTCAGACTATGTAGAATGTAAATGTTATGAGAAAGTTATGCCCAAATTTAAAAAATTATACTCATTTTGAGTTGCAATTCCCAAAATATTTCCGTAGGACCCTCATGGAAGAAGCACTTGATGGTTACCCACTACTTCTACTTGTGAATTTGTCAATAACTCATACATTAGCTAGATATTGTGAGCACAATTTAGTGGTTAATCCCCTGATATTGCACTCCTAGTAGAGTTTAATTTTTATGTATTCGTATTAGTGCCACATAAATTACTTAAATATGTTTCATCTTTATATTTCTCTGCATGCTCTTAAGTAGAAATAATAAAAATAATAGCATCAGACTATTATCGTATTATCATTATAGTAATCATTTTGGTCTGGATTATTGAACCATGTAATAGATGGAGAAACAAACTGAAATAGCCTACAGAGACAGAGTCATAATTCAAACTCAGATAATGTCATTATACCATTATCTGTCACTAGTACTGCAATAAATACTACCTAGTATGACTGTCACAATGCCTTACACGGTAAGAAACAGCAAAAGCCAGGATTGATTTCCCTTATGGATTTCTCTTCTTTGCAGATGGATCCCCATGAGAATATCTTACTGAGCACTCTTGAGATAAAAAATGAAATGGCCACATCTGAGGCTGTGATGGGACTTGGAGACCCCAGGAGCACAATGCTGGCCTATGATGCCTCCAGCATCCAATATCGAAAAGCTGGATTGCCAAGGCATAGTTTCGGCCGAAATGCTCTGGAACGACATGTGGCACAAAAGAAAAGTCGTCTGCGGAGACGTGCCTCCCAACTGAAAATCACCATCCCCGACTTGACTGATGTGAATGCCATAGATCGGTGGTCGCGCATATTCTTCCCAGTCGTTTTTTCCTTCTTCAACATTGTCTATTGGCTTTATTACGTGAACTAAAACATGGCATCCCGTGCAAAGCAAGGACTAGATTCCTCCTCAAACCAGTTGTACAGCCTGATGTAGGACTTGGAAAACACATCAATCCAGGACAAAAGTGATGCTAAAATACCTTAGTTGCTGGCCTATCCTGTGGTCCATTTCATACCATTTGGGTTGCTTCTGCTAAGTATTGAATACACTGAGGTCCTTGTCGTTTGCCAGTTAAAATGCAAATGATTCGTATACCTACTAGCAAGATTGAAGTTTATACTCTGTCTTATCTGCTTAATGTGCAGCTTGCTCAGAGACAAAATATGTAGAAGATATTCTTAAAAGACTGGATAGCATTGCTGGTCATTTCACTCAGAGGAGGCCATAGCCAGTACTCTTCCTTTCATTGCCAAGGTTGACATGAAGTTGAGATGGCACTGTGCTTAATGAAACATTATTTGCAATGCCATGCAAACATATTACTTAAAGATGAGCAGTTATTATCTTAATAAGGTAATAATGATATCGGTGGAAGAAATTCCTCTTGGACTCTAGAAAATTCTTAGATGGGGCAGGATAGGGGTGTCAAGGCAGACATGAAGAACCGGTTGACCAGTCTCTGCTTGAACATAAAGAATCAACTATTATGTCTTTCATTCTAGAACTTAGAAATGGAGTGGCTTTGAACATTGTACTGCATGGTGGCCAAGTAAATTTTTGCTAAGCAATTATTTTACAGTTGGATAAACGAGAGTTAGCAATGCAAAGCAAAGTAGAAAATCCAGACGTGATTATTATAGCAAGACCCTTATCAGCTCCACACCCCTGATCTATAACACGGTCCGTTCTGTAGCAAAGTATAAAAAGAGAGGACTATTTTTCCAGCCTCACAAGCTTTTGACCAAATACTCAGAGAGGTTTGTATAGTGTATTTAGCCAAAAAAAAGGATCATGGATCACGTAAGTTAGAATTAAAAGCATCTTAGATGCTCAAGGTTAATTGGGAGTCATTCTAATATACAAATATAATACATAAAGCTTGTAATCAGACTGTTTTTCTTAGACAATGTCAGTTGTCTCTGCAGCATTTCCCTCTAAATTTATTTCTAAATTTAATAGGTCATTTCACAGAGGATTTATTTGTTCATTTCTTTAAATGGTGAATGGTCCTCTGCAGGTTTTTTTTTTTCTTCTGAAATTCCCACTATATTCTTAGGAGACAGAAAAAATTAAGTCTTTGGAGAGAGAAAGTGAACTGTGTTTTCATATGTACAATGAAGTTCACCTTTCTGTTTTCAAAGCACACAATACTTGAAAGAGTATGTGCACTGAGGAGTGAGTTTGGGTGTCCATGAGTTTCACTTCTAAAGGGTACCTGCAGTGATTATGCAAACAACCTGCATAACCATGGAAAAGTGACAACTACTGAAAACTAGGGTAACATCCAGGTCATTGAAACATGGTGAATGTTATGAGCCTCAGTATTGCAGAAAAACATATAGCTGGTAAAACCACACAAGCACGATATTACTGTTTTTATTCTATCTTTGTTATAACATTGTGCTTCTTTCTGTACTAATTGGCATAAGCACTCATAGGTTGGACAGAAAAGACAACAAGCTTATGCATTTTATTTCTATCAATGGGAGGCTCATATTGTGTTTTTCTTGTATAAAATAGTGAATTGCTAAATTTTCCTTGAAGTTTGAATGAACACTCTTTTAGAGGATGGCTTTGCTATTACTATTTAGAATAAAAAAAATCTTGTTAGCAGAGTAATAGCCTAATTGTATATAGTAACCAAGGCCAGCATATAACTGTGGATAAAATGTATGATTTTCTCTCCTCATGGTTTAACAGCTTAGACTATGATAAAGTACTCTTGTCCTTCAATTTGGTCACAAAATAACAATGAGATGAAATATTTATTGCTGAATTTTTGTGAATTTTCCCAATGTTGGATGCTATTTTTTCCACCAATATGGGAATCTCTCTCTTCCTTTGGAATTATATACTTGAATACCTATGAATATAATTTTTGGGCAGAATCTGACAAGGTTCTTCCCTCGGCTCAGAATAGATATTTCTCTAGTTTTTCCAGGGACATACTTCTCCTCGGCAAACATTTTGAGGCATCACAGTAATAGAAGTGCCTGTCTCTTGTTGCAAGGGGCTAAAGTTTGAGTAAAACAAAACAAAACAAAAAATCAGGAAGGAGCATATTGATAACTCAGGGGCACAACTCCAAAATGCCATTATGAAAAGGTTTTTTCTAGAGATAATCCAGAGCCCAAGTCTAGAAGTGGGCTTCTATTTGCAATTACTGTAAAAAGCCATAAACAACTCCTTGTTATTGTCATTTACGGTTTCAGCAAAATTGTAGAGATCCAGAAAAGTCAAAAGTATGTTCTGTATCCCAGCGGAGGGAAGCTTTCTCACAGCGTGAGCCTCGTATGACCCAGGCATTTGTTTCTGTTTGCAGTGATGCAAGGAAACCAAAGGAGAAAAGATGAAACCTTGATTGGAACCAACGCGCTAGAGCGAAAACCGTGCATTGGCATTCCATAACGATGTAGGTAGAAACAACTGACTCATCCTGTCCAGAAATAACAGTAGAGGTAGAATTTATAATTCTTGTGCTCAGTGGCTACTCTAGTTGAATTAAAATGCGGTCATCAAATACAAGGAAGGGTGCTAACCTGAGACATCTAGAAAGACCGATAAGCCGGAGATCCAGAGACTAAGAACTAAAGGACCACAATGGTGTATTTTTGCAATTCTAATATGGTATTACTATCAGTTTATACATATGTATAGTTTTTCTTTTGATTATAAAATAGCCAGATAGCCAGCAATTAAGGTGTTTTTCATCTTTATGAAATTCATAGGCAAATTCTGACTCTAAAATGCACAGTCTCAATGAAATCTTTGATCTCAATCTGTATATATGTATATTGTACATGACTGCTAGTAGGTATGAAATGCATTTCAGAATTGAAAACTCATGCAACATAATCATGTGTTTGCATAGGAATGTTACAGTTCTTTCTACTGCAATTTAATAACTGGGGAAAAGACTCAAGCTGTACCATCTAGACCTTTCCTCTACTCATTTCTTCAAAAGCAGTGCTAAGTAAAATAATAATAATAATAAATGGTTTATGAACCAAATGACTTTACATTTTAGCATTAGGAAAACACACACACAAACTGTCGGCTTCAAAAGCACAACACAAAAAGAAAGTGCAGTGGAACTCATATGGGGAGATAAATTAAGTTTATTTGAAGTGAGATCTGCATTAAATGTTCAACTAGGACAGTTTTTATTTTCTGTAGGTAACTGTTCCAATTTTATGATTCATATTCAATAAAAAAATAGCAAAGCAACATAATGACAGGTCTTACAACATATCTCGATGTATATATGTGTATATATAGATTCATGCAAACATACATATATATGCATTCATATGTTGGGAAAAAAGGAATAAGCTAATACATTTTGTTTCCTTCATTAAACCAGTGTAATAGTATATTTAATTTGGCAGTCAACCATCAACCTATTGAAATAAGTAATACAGGGTACTGAGTATTCCTCTGTCAGTAAACCAATGCCTCCAGTTCTTAAGAACCATTGCACAGTTTGACACTACACTAGGACTGTACCTCGGAACACCAGAAGCTAACTAGCTTTCACATTGCTTATCTAATGGCTCTTTTTCCAGAAATAAATAGTGATATCCATTGATGATTTGAAAACAAACATATTAGAAAATGGAAAACAAAAATCCTCTTGGGAGGAAGAACAAAACAGAACTAAACCTCACTTTTGTTGGGTTAGGGGACATTACAACTGTAGCAATCATGCCATTTTGCTAAGTGTACAGAGTACATTTAATGTGAGCCACCATGACTCCACTGAGTGTGTGTAAATATTTAAACAGATTTCTTAAATATTTTTAACTTCTGATTTGTATTTTATGGTAAGGCAATGTACTAATTCTGCTTACTGCTTATGTCAGTGTGTTACAATGTTGTGTAAATAATTAAATATGCTGTAAATGAATGGTCTTTAGGTACAGATAATTGTTCAGTTTTTTCCTTTAATTTTTTTTTTACTAGATAAAGTTACTGGAGTGCCACAGCAGAATAATTTAAACACCCTTTTGCATATATGGTTTGGGAATCCCAGACAGAAGGGTTTTAGTTCACTCTCACACATACGGCCACAGAGTCTGTTTCTCTCTCTTTCTCTTTCTCTCTGTCTTTCTCTTTGTCATTTCTTCTCTAGTGTATTACCACATACACACACACACACACACACACACACACACTCTACAGTATTTTACTCCCTTGCTTGTTCATTCTGTCTCCCTCTATGAGAAATGCTCTAGTGTTTTTAGCCAAGTAGCCTATGTAGCCAAGAGACAGCCTTAGAAATGGCAATTGGGAATATCAGAAAGTGTAATTGATAAGATTTTTTGTATGTCAAAGGAACCAAAGTTTGGAACTTTGTAACAGTGACACTACAGAAAATAAAAATGTTTATTCCTATGCTCTCCAAACATTTGGTACAGACAGTACATTCTAGAACACTTTTTAAAATAATAGCATTTTGTCCTTTGATAGTGTTAGTGCTCCTATCAACCAAAGAATCCAGAATTACTAAAAAAACAAAAAGGTTTAAAAAGAGGGAAAACGGAAGACGCTGCTTCACACCAAAGGTTTAAAAATATTTCCAAATGCACTAAGAACGTTGTAAAACGAGAACAGTGAATCGACAGGATGCTGATTAAGGTATTTGCCATAATCAAATAATTTATTTAAAAAGCAACACTGCTACATAGTTATTTGTTTTTTAGAAATCAAAGTAGAACTTTTTCTGTAGCTAGACATGTGCAGCATTCTGACATCACATTTTATTTTGCTTCAAGTACATTTTGAGAAAAAGATAAATAGGATCTAAATTGATGAAAACCAAAATTTTATATCCTTTGAGCTCTGTGACAGAATGTCGCTCCCTTGCCACATGCCGTATAACCTGATGCCCACAAGTGTACCACATGAAAAAAGCTGACACGTCCATCAGCGTGTAACTTACTTTTTACTTTCGTGATTCTGGATTAGTCATTATCATTTTTAGAATAATTCACTCTGAGTTGCTTAGTTTAAATCTCATTACATTTTATTTTTTTTTCTGCATGGGTGTTTAAATAGTTCTGTTATAAATATTGTCCCTGCAAAATTCTAAATTGTCCTTTTATAAAAAGTGACATCTAATTTCTTCACAATGTAGTGAGTATCAGCCTTACTAATGACCTAATAGCCTTTCTTAACATGCGCATAATGCACATTTTTTTCAGTGACTAGAAAATGCAAAACACAAGTGGATATTGTAGATTGCACCTATTTTCATGTCTTTCTAAAAACAGGACTAAGAAAATCTCTGGGATATATGAGATAGTAAAACTATGGGGATTATAAATGAATAGCACATGAAAATTATTTTCTTGAAATTAAACTTACTG